AGCAGGGTGGTGGTATTTCATACAAGCAGCAGCAGCCTTGTGTGGGAGAAACTGCAGGGGAAGAAGGGGAAACCCTGGGAGGAGGAGGCCTGGCTGGGCTGATGCCATGGTGAGGGTGTGGATGATGATGATGGGCTGAGATGATGACTGTAGGGATGGTGAGGAAAGAAAGGAATTGATCTGAGAAATGCACTGGTCTCTCCCCCCTCCCCTGCCCCCACCAGAAACCATGGGGCAGGAAGAGACCTGAGCTTCTAATCTCTGGTGGCGCTTCCCAGGGTCACTGAAACACTGGAGATGAGCCTCTGGCAATCTCAATACTCTATCTCAGGAGGACTCCCTTTGCAGAAGTCTTGTTTGTTTTGTAATTTAATAGCTTTTTATTGTGCATTCTTATAGGAAATAGAAATACATAGTATTCATGTTAACAGCCCTTATTATGTTACCTATGGCAGCCCTTATTTCCTTTTCAGTTCAGTCACTCAGTTGTGTCTGACTCCATGACCCCAAGTACTGCAGCACACCAGGCTTCCCTGTCCATCACCAACCCCTGGAGCTTACTCAAACTCATGTTCATTGAGTCGGTCATGCCATCCAACCAGCTCATCCTCTGTCATCCCCTTCTCCTCCCACCTTCAATCTTTCCAAGCATCAGGATCTTTTCCACTGAGTCAGCTCTTTGCATCAGATGGCCAGAGTATTGGAGTTCCAGCTTCAGCATCAGTCTTGCCAGTGAATATTCAGGACTGATTTCCTTTAGAATTGACTGGTTGGATCTCCTTGTAGTCCAAGGGACTCTCAAGAGTCTTCTCCAACACCACAGTTCAAAAGCATCATTTCTTTGGCACTCAGCTTTTTTTATAGTCCAATTCTCATATCCATGCATGAGTACTGGAAAAACCACAGCTTTGACTAAACAGACCTTTGTCGGCAAAGTAATGTCTCTGCTTTTTAATATGCTGTCTAGGTTGGTCATAGCTTTTCTTCCATGGAGCAAGTGTCTTTTAATTTCATGGCTGCAGTCACCATCTGCAGTGATTCTGGAGCCCAAAAAAGTAAAGTCTGTTACTGTTTCCATTGTTTCTCCATCTATTTACCATGAAGTGATGGGACCAAATGCCATGATCTTAGTTTTCTGAATGTTGAGTTTCAAGCCAACTTTTTCACTCTCCTCTTTCACTTTGATCACTTATTTCCTTACCTATGATACAATCAGCTGTGCTCTTCTTTCCCAAGGAGTCTGGACTCAGTACTTTCGGGTGTGACCAATTGATCTGAATTGATCTGGCGTGGTGAGATTGAATGGCCTTCCCTACTACATGCCAGATCATGTGTGAAGCCCTTGTGTTAGTTTCATGTGGCTGCTATAACAAATTACAAGCTTGGGTGACTTGAAACAATGGAAAGATATTCTCTCACAGTGCTGGATCTTCTACTTTTTGTGCCTCAGCATCCTAATTTGTAAGGTGGAGATTACGTCCTTCCTCACAGGGTTATTATGGTATTAAATGGTAAGTGCTCACTAAGTCTATGCTGCTACTATTTGATGGTACTGCCCTCCTGGAGGTGCCCCTGGGAAGTTGTTCAGGGAAGTCAGCCTTTAATGGCACATCTGATTTTCTCTCACGTTTACAGTTCCAGAGAGGGGTGGGAGATGGACACTGCAGGCAGACTAGAGTCTTTTTGTCATGTGCAGAACTTCCATTATTAAAAAACTGTGGAAGCAATTTGCTCTGGGAGTCTGAGAACTCTATCTCCAGGTTCTAAAAGGCTCTTTGTTGAACTTGGAGGTGGGACCACTCGACTCTGAGGAAGCCAGGGGGGTGATTGTTGTGGTTCACTCACAAAGTCTCATCCAACTCTGCAACCCCAGGGATTGCAGTGCACCAGGCTTCCCGGTCCTTCACTATCTCCCAGAGTCTGCTCAGATTCACGTCCATTGACTCGGTGATGCTGTCCAACCATCTCGTCTTCTGTCGTCCCCTTCTCCTTTGGTCTTCAATCTTTACCAGAATCAGGGGCTTTTCCACTGTGTCGGCTTTTCACATCAGGAGGCCAAAGAATTGGAGCTTCGGGTTTCAGTAACAGTCTTTCCAATGAAGATTCAGGATTGATTTCCTTTAGGGTTGACTAGTTTGATCTCCTTGAGTCCAAGGGACTCTCAAGAGTCTTTTCCAGCACCACAATTCAAAATCATTAATTCTTTAACCTTCCTTATGGTTCAATTCTCATATCCATACATGACTACTGGAAAAGCTGTGACTTTGACTATATGGACCTTTGTTGGAAAATGATGACTCTGCTTTTTAATATGCTGTCAGGTTTGTCAGGGCTTCCCCAGTGGCTCAGAGTTAAAGAATCTACCTGCAATATAAGAGACCTGAATTTGATCCCTGGATGGAGAAGATCTCCTGGAAGAGAATGTGGCAACCCACTCCTGTACTCTTGCCTGGAGAATCTCATGGACAGAGGAGCCTGGTAAGCAGTAGTCCATAGGGTCTCAAAGAGTCAGACACAACTGAAGCAACTGCACACACACATTAGGTTTGTCATGGGCCTCCCTAAAGACTCAGATGGTAAAGAAGCTGCCTGCAATGCAGGAGACCCAGGTTCAATCCCTGGGTTGATAAGATCCCCTGGAGAAGAGAATGGCTACCCATTCCTGTATTCTCGCCTGCAGAATTCCATGGAGAGAGGAGCCTGGAGGGCTACAGTCCATGGGGTTGCAAAGACTTCCAAGGAGCAAGTGTCTTTTAATTTCATGGATGCAGTCACTGTCCACAATGATTTTGGAGTCCCTCAAAATAAATTCTGTCACTACTTTGACTTTTTCCCCTTCTATTTGCCATAACATGATTGGACTGGATGCCATGATCTCATTTTTTTTAATGTTGAGTTTTAAGCCAACCTTTTCATTTTCCTCTTTCACCCTCATCAAGAGGCTCTTTAGTTCCTCTTAATTTTCTGCCATTAGAGTGGTATCACTGCATATGAGGTTGTTGATATTTCTCCCTGCAATCTCGATTCTAGCTTGTGATTCATCCAGCCTGGCATTTCTCATGATGTACTCTGCATGTAAGTTAAATAAGCAGGGTGACAATATACAGCCTTATCATACTCCTTTCCCAATTTGGAACCAGTCCATTGTTCCATGTCCAGTTCTAACTGTTGCTTTTTGAACTGCATACAGATTTCTCAAGAGACAGGTAAGGTAGCCTGGTACTCTCATCTCTTTAAGAGTTTTCCACAGTTTGTTGTGATCCACACAGTCAATGGTTTTAGCATAGTCAATGAAGCAGAAGTAGATGTTTTCTTGGAATTCCTTCCTTTTTCCATGATCCAATGAATGTTGGCAGTTTGATCTCTGATTCCTCTGCCTTTTTCAACCCAACTTGTACATCTGCAAGTTCTCAGTTCATGTATTGATGAAGTCTTGCTTGAAGGATTTTAAGCATAAACTTACTAGCATGTGAAATGAGCACAATTGTATGGTAGTTTGCACATTCTTTGGTATCACCTTCTTTGAGATTGGAGTGAAAACTGACATTTTCCAATCCTGTGGCCATTCTGAGTTTTCCAAATTTGCTGGCATATTGAGTTCAGCACTTAAAGGATTTGAAATGGCATCATCTTTTAGGATTTGAAATAGCTCAGCTGGAATTCCATCACTTCCCCTAGCTTTGTTCAAAGTAATGCTTCCTAAGGCCCCCTTGACATCACACTCCAGGATGTCTGGCTCTAGGTGAGTGATCACACCATCAGGGTTATCTGGGTCATTAAGATCTTTTTTGTATAGTTATTCCATGTATTCTTGCCACCTCTTCTTAATTTCTTCTGCTTCTGTTAGGTCCTTACTGTTTCTGTCTTTTATCATGCCCATCCTTGCATGAAATGTTTTCTTGATATCTCCAATTTTCTTGAAGACATCTCTAGTCTTCCCCATTCTATTGTTTTCCTCTATTTGTTTGCCTTGTTCACTTAAGAATGTCTTCTTGTCTCTTCTTGTTATTCTCTGGTACTCTGCATTTCACTTGGGTATATCTTTTCCTTTCTCCCTTGCCTTTTGCTTCTCTTCTTTCCTTAGCTATTTGTAAAGCCTCCTTAGACAACCATTTTGTCTTCTTACATTTCATTTTCTTTGAGATGCTTTTGGTCACTGCCTCCTGTTACAATGTTATGAACTTCCATCTTTATTTCTTCAGGCACTCTGTCAACCAGATCTAACCCCTTGAATCTATTTGTCACTTGCAGTGTATAATAATAAGGGATTTGATAGTGATAGAGGCCTCCTCCTTGGAAGGAAAACTATGACAAACCTAGACAGCATTTTATTTTATTTTATTTTCAATGTAAAACATTTAATTTAAAAATGTTGACACTACAATATATAAAATAGCTATTATAAATGCACATAGTGTATTCTATAGCTGCCAGGTTTACTTTTTTTTAAAGGAAACTGTAAGTTACACTGTGGTTAAAACTTGTATCTTCATCCTTGAAAAAGCCCACATTCTATCACAGTGATGTATGGTCAGACTTAACAGCCCCAATTGTTAAACACTTGGATCAAGTCATAACCAGTTTTATTGCAAAAGGACCCTGTACACATTTATCAATTCTAGTACCTTAATAGCTACCCAACAAGTCATTAACATACAGAAACATGCATCATGAGAAGCAAGAAATATCTTCTGCATATTAGCAACTTGTCACTGCTGAGCAACAGTGCTCACATCACTGAGGTCTGTGAACAGTCACTTTTCGCATTCATCCTGAGTGAAAGATGGAATGACTTAAGTACAAATGCAACGTATTATAAACAATTTCTTAGAAAAAAAGTCACAAATTAAACCGAAGTATTTTACAGAATTTACTACAAAACACCATAAAAACTGCCCTCTCTCTCCCCGTATCCGGCGAGTTAATTGGATGTCTTTGGGCATGATGGTGACTCTCTTAGCGTGGATGGCACACAGATTAGTATCTTCAAACAAACCCACCAGGTACGCTTCGCTAGCCTCCTGCAGAGCGCCGATGGCGGCACTCTGGAACCTCAAGTCGGTTTTGAAATCCTGGGCGATCTCCCTCACCAACCTCTGGAAAGGCAGTTTCCGGATCAGAAGCTCGGTGGATTTCTGGTAACGACGGATTTCTCGAAGCGCAACAGTCCCGGGCCTGTAGCGATGAGGTTTTTTTCACCCCGCCGGTAAGAGGGGGCGCTTTTCCTGGCCGCTTTGGTGGCCAGCTGCTTGTGGGGCGCTTTCCCACCTGTTGACTTATGAGCAGTCTGCTTGGTTCGGGCCATTTTCTTTTATCTAATGCCGAAGTTATAGGCCGCTTCTCCGACCACCGCGCAGCTGCTGCTGCCCAAAGAGCTGCAGGAGTTGAGACAGGGGAAGGACCCCTTCCAACGAACCACCAAACTGCTCTGCGCTCCCTAGACAGCATTTTAAAAGGCAGAGACATCACTTTGCCAACAAAGGTCCATATAGTCAAACTATGGTTTTTCCCGTAGTTATATACTGAATGTGAGCATTTGACCATAAAAAAGTTTGAAGAATTGATTTTGAATTGTGGTCCTAGAGAAGACTCTTGAGAGTCCCTTGGACTGAAAGGAGATCAAACCAGTCAATCCTAAAGGAAATAAATCCCTGAATATTCATTAGAAGCACTGATGCTGAAGCTGAAGCTCCAATACTTTTGCCATCTGATGTGAAGAGTTGACTCATTGGAAAAGACCCTGATGCTGGGAATGGTTGAAGGCAAAAGGAGAAGGGGTCAGCAGAGGATGAGATGGTTGGATGGCATCACCAACTCAATGGATACGATTTTGAACAAACTCTGGGAGATAGTGAAGGACAGGACACTGCAGTCCATGGGGTCGCAAAGAGTCGGACATAACTTTGTGACTGAAAAACAACAAAGAGGCCCCCAGTTTTCAGAAGAGGCATTGAGTCTTAGCTCCATTTCATTCCCTCACTCTTCCTCCTCCCCCTCCCCCTTCCCTCACCTTGTCCCCCTTCTCCCCCTCCTCCTTGCCCACCAGGGAGGCAGCTGGCTATGCTGGAGAGCCAAGCATTCTCTCTGTATCTGCTAAGCTGAAGCAGCATATTGATGATCACCTGCAAATGTGAAATAGATGGGAAATGCTTTGCACTTCAGAGGCATAACAAGTGTTATTTCTCCATGGATGCTGGAGGATGGAGCTGACAGTTCTTTGGGGATGAAGGAGACGTGATAGAGTCTCCCACTTCACCTGAGACAGAGATGGTTTCTGAGCATTTGTTGTGTACTACTGTTCTGTGGTATTTCATATAATGGCCTTCATACACAGCAACACCCCCCCACCCCCCGCTCCGCCTCTACCCCAGGAAAGAAACAGTCATCCTTAAGTTTATAAATCAATCAAGGTGCTGTGAGACAATATATCAGCTAGGGGATTTCAGCCCAGGTGTAATTGATGCTGAGGCCTGAGGGTTTGCCTCCACCCAGTTGGGTTTTGGAAAAACATGCTGATGGAGGTGGCATTCGGCTTTTTAGAGAATGCCACAGGCCTCCTTTTCCAGGGCTAGACCAGCGGTCAGCAAACTTTCTGTAAAGGGCCAGATGGTAAGTATTTAGGTTTTGCAGGCCAATAATCTCTGCTTCAACTACTCAACTCTGCTGTTATAACAGGAAAGTAGCCACAGACAGTAAGAAAACAAATGGGCATGGCTGTGTTCCAGTCAACTTTATTTACACAAACAGGCAATCAGCCAGTGTGCAATGATTAGTCAATCCCAGAAGTCAATAACCTGAATATGACTCATTCCTTTTCCAGTTACCAGCTGTATGACCTTATTTAACCCACCTGGGCCTTGGTTTCCTCATCAGTAAATTGGGACTAGCAATACCTCATAGTAATCATTATAATTGTAGTATCCAATTAGGTAGTTGTGAGGATTAAGTGAGCTCAAGTAGGAAGAACTTTTACAACAGAGTCTGCTGTAGAGTCAGAGGTCAGTGACAAGTGGCTTTGTTATTAGCATCATCATCCTCATCTTCAGCATCGTTGAAAGGACTTGGAGCTAGAAAACGGGGATAATACTTCCTTCACAGGTTTGCTATGGGGATGAAGTGAGACAATGTATGCAAAATGCCGTAAGCTGCGCTAGCACATAGCGGATGCTCAATGACCCCGGAGGTGAATCAGCAAACTCTCATCAACTCTTCTCCAGCTAGTTCTAAAAGCCTCTTCTGGTATTAAAAAAAAAAAAAAAAAGTGAAAAACCCAGCCATACACTCTTAAGCTGCTCTAGTCTTAGCTGGGAAAGACAAAAGTGTGAGAAAGATTAAAAGAAGCTTCAGTCAGTAGGTAGAAATTCAGGGCTGCAGAAAAGAGAAACCTCAAGCTCAAGTCCAAGGGGCATGGATATCTCAGTGGGCTGGGGGCTCCCCACCAGAGTTGGGCTTATGAGGGTTGGGAAAGGAGCGCAGTGAGTGAACTTCTCCTATGAAGACGACCACCATAAACTGCTTCTATGATGAAGCACAGAGAAAGCCCTGCCCAGCCCCATGAGGACCCATCATTGCTGGTTCCTGCAAAGCCTTTCCTGGTTCTGCAAATTTCAAGGACTTAGTGTCCTTGAAATTTAGAAATACTCTCTGCACACTCAGCCTTACGACTTCCCATTTAGCTGGCCTACACTCATCTTGAGGGATGAAGGCTGATTTGAGAATGAATTTAGTGTTCCTCTGCGATTCTGAGCTGCTGATTGTTTTTCACAGGAGCCGGTGCTATAATGGAAGAGGAAGGAGCCTGCCAGAGGTTGAGCTGGGGCTCTAGAGTCAGGTGTTTGGAGTTTTCTGGGCAACCTTGGGCAGCTTGTGTTGATAGCACATCAGTGTCCCCATCTGTGAAACAGGGATCCTAAGAGGACTCAGAAAGTAGAAGTGGAGACCCTGGCAAGGTGCCTGCCATATTCTAAGCTGTTCTCATGATGAAGAAGATTGCTGTGCTGAAAGGAAGGTGGAGAGATGAACCTGGATTTGAATTCCATTCAGTCTTGGGCAGGGCATTTAACTCATTGGAACCTCAAGTTCCTCATCTGTAAAATGGGTACAGCAATTAAGGGTTAGGTGTATTAAAAGGTCTAAAGTACTTAGTTCAAAGTCTGGCACACTTTAAGTGAAAGTAAAAGTTTTTATTTTTGTTATGGGCCTGGCTGCTGTTATTGTTATTATTACTGCAGTTATTATTGTTATGGACCTGGCTAGGGCAGGCCTCAGATCTGACTAGAGTGGATGGTAGGGTGTGTTTGAGCTCAGAGGAAGGTAAAGGTCCCTGCTCTTGACCCGGCTCCCATGGAAGGAACAATGATGCAGAAGCAGGAGTTCGGAGCTGTGATTGGTGACTGCCCCCTGGCCTGGTTTTAAGTATGACTGGGTGATTTTATTCTGACCTTTGGCTCTTGGAACCTCCTCAAGCTCCTGCTGGAGTTTAGGGTTCTGAGACTTGAACTCAGTTAAGAGCATTAGACTTTTGTATTGCATGGACCTCCCTGAGACTTGGTTTCTTCTCCATTTAAAAATAATAGTGTTGATACTTACCTGGTAAAGGCTGTTATAGCACTTTAATGTGTCAGGTACTGCTACAAATTCTGTAGACATACTGAATTATTTAATTCTTACAATAGCCCTTAGAGGTAGCAAATATAATCCCCATGTATTAATTTCCTGAGGCTGCTTTAAGAAATCAACCGAAGCTTGGCTTAAAACAACAGAAATGTATTCTCTCACAGTTCTGGAAGCCAGAGTCTGAAATCAAGGTTTTGGAGGGCTGTGCTTCTGCTAAGACTCCAGATGAGGATATTTTCCTTTTCTGTTCCAACCTTGGAGGCTTCTAGCTGCCGGCATCCCTTGGCTCATAGCCACACATTCTAGCTTCTGCTTCTGTGGTCACATCACCTTCTCCTCTTCCGTTTGTGTCTGAGTCAAATAAAAGCTCCCTGTGAGTACACTTATGATGGCCCTTAGAGCTCACCAGGACCATCCAGGGTAAGCTCCTCATCTCAAGGTCCTTAATTTAATCACATCTGCGAAAGCTTCACCAAATGAGGCAACAGTCAGAGGTTCTAGGGATGAAGACCTGACATCGTTGGAAGCTACTATTCAACTCACTGCACCCCACTTTACTGGAGAAGGCAATGACACCCCACTCCAGTACTCTTGCCTGGGAAATCCCATGGACGGAGGAGCCTGGTAGGCTGCAGTCATGGGGTCGCTAAGAGTCGGACCCGACTGAACGACTTCACTTTCACTTTTCACTTTCATGCATTGGAGAAGGAAATGGCAACCCACTCCAGTGTTCTTGCCTGAAGAATCCCAGGGATGGGGGAGCCTGGTGGGCTGCCATTTATGGGGTCGCAGAGTCAGGCACAACTGAAGCGACTTAGCAGCAGCAGCAGCAACCCCACCTTACAGATGAGATGGGAAGTAGGTGGCAGAGTAATCTGGCTCAGTCTGCACCCCTATGCCGTGTTACTCCGACCAGGCTATGCACCACGTGATGGCTTCCCTGTCACTGAGCCCTGCAGACATCCCCAGACATCCCTTTCTTTTGGGCACTGTCAGAACGCATGGATTTTTGCTTATCAGCAAGCAACCAGAGAAAATCACCAGATGTAATTTGCCCCTTCTCCCAACGTCTTGCCCTGGTCCCTGCTCTGGTCTTCAAGTTCCTCAGCCAAAACCGAGAGGAAATGACTTCAGTCATGGGTACAAATCCATGTAAAATGAGGCCAATGTCTTGGCACAGGAAATTTTTCACACCCTCTTAATCTGTTTTACCATACGCTCTGCAGGCTCTGTGACCTGGTGTTCTTAGAAGAGAACAGTGTCCTTTTGGATGTGATTTCGGTGACAATGTCTGTGATGAGTAAGCCTCACCCAGCCCAGGCAGCCCTGGGTTCCTGAGGTCACACACCAATCAAAGGCTTTGAGTCCTTGGCTTCCGGGCTAGATGCTGCTCTCACATTAATGCATAACATTTCAGAAGAGAGATTTTTTTGTTCCTGCTCACTCTCAAGTACCACTTCTGCTGCCTCCCACAGAGGACCATGTACGGTAGACATGTAGGGGTAGCCAACTCAGGCCTGGGAAGTGACACTCTATGGGGCTGGCATTTGGAAATATAT